AGTGGGAGAGGGAGAAGCAGGCTTCCTGCGGAGCAGGGAGCCCGATGCGGGGCTCGATCCCAGGACCCTGGGACCATGACCTGAGCCGAAGGCAGACACTTAACGACTGAGCGACCCAGGCACCCAAAGTGCCTTCTTTTTAGATCAGGATTTTGTACTGGTACCAAGGAGACTTTTTTTTCTTTTTGTTGTTAAAGTTTTAAAATTGTTGAGGCATTAGCTTTGTTCATTGGGAACTGAGATTTTTTGCTGTCAAAAATTTTAAGGCAACTTCCATTTTTAAAAAGTTTGGAACTGGGCAGGCACTACAAATCAAGGTTTTTGCTTTTGTTTTCATTCTTTTTCCTGAAAAGCCAGTTGTTAAATAGGTAGCAATGGGGGTGCCTCCCCAGATGATAGGGCCAGGTGAGGAGAGAGGAAGACTGGGTTATCTGAACAAGTGAGAAGCACTATGTCAATTTCCCTTCATGGACCATCATACACATGATCACAGATAGTTTGAGCATTATATTATGTGCCAGGTACTGTTTCTAAGGCTTCATGTGGACCAATTCATTTCTTCGCACAAAAAGTCTTTGAGGTGTGCACAATCATCCACCTATTTTAAGGAGAATGAGGCCCAGAGTATTACCTTCCTTGACTGGGAAGGTGGATGATGGAGTATCTGTCTGGATTTGGTCATATTAAATTTAGACAGGGCATTCAGCAGGACCCGAAAGAGTGACCCACGGTGTTCTAATCCCCCTCCCTCCCAAACCAGCCCACAGCGGGGAGGGGACAGTCTGCTTTATCTCTGTGACCCCGGCGTTAGGGAGGTCCTCAAATATTCTTTTCCCTCTCTCCTTCCAGGCACATGGACAGACTGCACTTCCCACCATCCCTCCCCTTTGAAGTTACGCATCGTTGAATGACCTGCTTGGGCCAACAGATGCCGAGTGGAAGTGACATGTTTCATATCCAGGCAGAAGCTGTATGAGTCACTGCAGCTTCGCCACTTTCTCTCTCTTCCCAGTGCCAAAGAATTGCCAGGGCTCCGGAGAGATGCTGTTCCCTCAGCCTGGGTCACAAGGATGATGTGGAGCAGAGCCCTGAGGTGACCCATAAAAGACCAGTAACACTGGCGAGTAATAAACTTTTGCTGCATGAGGCCACTGAGATCCTGGGCTTGTTTGTTACTGGAGCATAACCCAGCCTATCCTGACTGATACATCCTAGTTTTTAGTAGAGCCTAAAATGTGGTGGTCTTAAAAAAAAAAAAAAGAAATAGGGGCCCCCGGGTGGCTCAGTCGGTTGAGCATCTGACTCTTGGTTTCGGCTCAGGTCATGAGCTCATGCGTCATGGGATCCAGCCCAGCATTGGTCTCCCTGCGCATCGGGGAGTCTGCTTGAAGATTCTCTGTCCCCTCCCCCCACTCACTCTCTCTTTCTCTGTCTCTCTAAATAAATGAATCTTAAATGAATGCATGCATGAATGAATGAATGAATGGGAATAGGGACAAGGTCATACATTTCCAGGCTGGAGGTAGAGGAAAGAGCCACATCTCAAGCTTGCTCGCACATACACACTTGTAACTAGGCTGGGGTCAAACTCAGGCTCTGACCTTTATTTCCTCTGCTCACAGCTCATGCTGACCCTGACATCATTGCTCCAATTCTCCCCCCGCTGCTCAGTACTGGGGGCTCCTGGGGAGGGTGAGGAAGGAGGAGCTACAGAGACAGGGACATGAGGTACAAGGAGAGCCTGGAAGACAGATGCAGGAGTGGGGATTAGAGGTGAGGAAGCAGAAACAGGAGGTGGTCGGGGGGGACAGCCGGAGGGGTTAGGGCAGAGCTGGGGGGAGAGATGCGAACCCAGTACAGAGACACGCTGAACGGGAAGCCAGGAGAACAGGAAATTGGGAGACAGGAAGGAAAAGGAGGGTTGGGAACAGAAAGGGACCAGGAAACAGAGCTGAGGACATGGCGAGGAGCGGATGGAAACAGACGGGGACACGGTGCAGGGCAGGTGCAGGGCAGGCGCAGAAAAATGTGGCGCAAGAGAGCCGTGGAGAGTCACGGGGAAACCTCGAGGCAGAAATGCCGAGAAGGCTAGCAAGGAGCCACGGGCAGGGTGGGCGCCCTAGTCTTTGCTGGTGGTGGAGCCCCTGTTGGTGCTGGAGGTGGGGCCGGGGCTCGAGACTTGGCCTCTGCTGGACCCGAGGCCTCCACTTGATTCTGACCCCATGCCTCTGCTCTCCGCACCTGCATGGCTTTCGTGGACGCCGCTGGACCCCATGTATCCAGTGGACCCCAGGTAGCTAGTAGAGCTGGGGGTTCTGAAGGTCACACGGCCCCCCGTTGAGCCCCGGCTGGAGAGCGGCGCTCCCACGGCACTGACGGAACCAAAGGTCACGTGGCCTGTGCTGGAGCCGGGGTCACCAAAGGTGACACGGCCGACATTGGAACCAGCGGCATGGCCTCCACTGGACACCAGGATGCCACTAGTCCTCTGGCTCAGGATGGACCCGGGGATGATACTGGGGTTCTTGGCGATCACCGAGGGTGAGCCGGAGGTGACCCTCTGGGTACCGGAGAGGCTGGGGACGCTCGGGGTGCTATCGACCTTCTTCATGGCCTCAGCCAGCTCCCGAGCCTCCAGCTGTGGGGGAGGCGAGTTAGGTTCCAGGAAAGGGCTGAGGTCCTGCCCCGAACCCGGCAGGTTCCCATCCTCACCAGCTTTGTCACTTGGCTCCGGAGCTCTTCCTCGCTCATTGGAGCGTCATCTTTGGCCTCAAAGCCTGGGGTGTCCTCCCTAATGTGGGGGGAAGGCAGGAAGGGAGGACACTTGTAGCCACAAAAGGCCGACGGCCCCTCATTGCTATACCCAGAGACCGTTAGCCATGCTCTGGCCAGCCTGGGTGCCCTTTGCCTTTCTGGTCTCCCTGGGGCCAGTTCAATTCTCTGGAGCCCCGACTCTTCCTGGTCCCCCCCAAAGCACCCACTCCCCCAAAACCCTCCATCCCATTCATTGTCCCTCTGCCCCCACGGAATCGCCTTCCCCTGCTCCTCCCTCCTGCCCTGTGCCTCACTGGTTCTCAGGGAGCTGAGGCAGGGCCATCTTCTTTGGAAGATCCTCAGGGCTCTGGCCCAGAACCAGGAGGGCAGTGTTAACCCAGCTCGGGGAGGTGTAGTTCTAGAGGGTGGATAAACCAGTGGTCAGCTCATCCCCAAGGCCCCGGCTTCCAAGATTTGGGCTCCCTGTCCCCGCCCCCCCCAGAGCCTCCTACATCTCCACCTGAAAATCTAGGTAGGCCTGCACGGACAGGAGCTCGACCAGCCGCTTCTCGATGAGGCCCAGGAAGAGGCCAATGTCCCGGTCTCGCATGTGGGTCTTGACCCCCAGGAGGTCCTTGATGATGGTGTTGTCACACTGGGCCCTGATGAAGAGCTGCTGGATGTCTGAGGTTGTGGGGGGGGACAGGCTGTCACAGACTCAGCTCCTGCTGGGAGGCCCGCCCTCTGCTGCCCTCGAGTCTCCACTCGCTGCCCCTCAGCCAGCCAGGCAGCAGGAAAGCGTGGCTGTGGGCCTGGCCACGGGGCTCGGAACCACAGAAGGCACAAAGCGAGGGAGGGCAACGGGAAAGCTGATAAAGGCACCACCAAGTTTCAAGGCCTTCTTCACGCAGCTCCGTCAGAAACACCTGACTTCCATCCCACCCAGTGACCCCACACTGCCCCATCCCCCCCCCCGCCCAGAGAAGCACTCACATGGGTGCTGAACGGGAGAGGTCGGAGGACAGCCATGCACCACCAAGGCTGCCTTCTTCGTTTTTTTTTAATATTGGCCCCCACTTGCACCCGACTGAATTAGCCGTGGCCCTCGGCTGGCCCCCCTGCCACTGTCATGACCCACCCTCGGCTCTCACAGTTGGCCCGTGGGTGGCCCGCTTGTATCTGCTTATTGTTTCAGGGGAACTGGCTATTGTTAGTGACATTAGAAGGCACCTGTGACCTTGACACAAATCTGCAGCCCATGGCACTGCGTCTCCATTGCTTGTCCCTGAGCTGCCTCCACCTGAGCTCCCGACTCCTATATGGTTTCCTCCTGGGGTCTCTCCCTGAACATCCCCCCACAGGGCTCAACTGAGCTCAGGGTCATCCCCAAACCCATTCCTTCTCCCACGTACCCCCGCCAGGCCAGACCCTGTGCGTGCGACCCCCTCCAATCCCCCCCACTGCCCATCCATCTGATACCTCTGGGTCCGGTCCCCTCCTCTCCGTCATCCTCTCTTCCTCCAACCTCCCCCCTCCCACCCCCGTCCACGGCCTCTCCTGCTCACAGCCCTCCCATGGCTCCCCAGTGCTCTAGCCTGGCACCTCTTCACAATCTGCCGCCTTCCCCCTCCCACTCACACCCTTGCACCCCTTCTCCACACAAAAAGCCTACATTCCTACAAGTATCTCCAGGCCTTGACCCGACCCCACCTGCTAGGAGTACCCTCTACCTCCAACTTTTCAGTTAAATACTCATCCTTCAAAATCAGCCTCAAACATCACCGCTTCCAGGAAGCCTGCAGCCACCCAGCATTGCCGGTTTCAGCAAGTGGCAGGTGCAGGGGCTCAGGGCGCCTGCACTCAGGAGGGCCCCGCCTTGGGCTTGGTGCTCTGCTGTCCTGTCTTGTTTAACAAAGGGCCCTACCTTTCCATTCTGTACTGGGCCCAGCCAATTCCGGCAGAGTTGAGGCTCCCAGGGTGCCTGAGGGTCCTCCGTGCTAGGCCCTGGGATGGTTGTGAGTACCCAGGGTCCCTGCTGGTCTCCTCCCACCCCTGCCCTCGGGGCACTCCTCACTTAACACCAGGCATGGTGCAGCGGTCATGGTCACGGTCATGGGGTCATGGTCATGGTCAGGACAGAAAAGGAGGATCTTCCTGGACCTGAGCTCCTACTGTGTGTGACCACGAGGTGGCTCCTTGGCTTGCTCACCAGCACCACGGCCACCTTCTTAGCTTCCCATCGGTGAGCCCATCCAATTCTCATGACAACCCACCAAGTACACCCTGCCATCCCGTTGCCAGGGGGATCAGGCCCAGGAAACCACACACCAAGGTTCCCAAATGATAGACCTGGCTTCAAACCCAGGGCAGCCTGACTCCTGAGCACTCTACACTGGAAGGATGGCAGGAAGGATGGCAGGATGGATGGCAGGATGGATGGCAGGATGGATGGCAGGAAGGATGGCAGGAAGGATGGCAGGATGGATGGCAGGAAGGATACGGGATGGACAGACAAGCCAGGGCACAAAGACGCTGTGGAATGTCTGCCCGTGGCCGGCCCCAGGCTGGGCCCTCCGGGTGGCTCACCCGCCTTGAGCTTCTCCAGCTGGCCCCGAAGGTCCTGGAAGCTGGCCTCGACCCGGACGGCCTCGGCGTGCACCTCGTCCGCTCGCTGCTGCAAGTCCCTCCGCCGCTGCTCTTGCTGCGCGCGCACGTCATCCTCGCTGGTGCGCGTGCTCGCCAAGGCCTCCTGCATCTGCAGGGCGGGGCAGGCGCCCATTGCCGGGGGCAGCTCGGGGAGGGGGGTGGCCGCACGCAGAGGAGATGGGGGAGGGGGGAGCGGAGCGGGGAGGGGGCCTCACGCGCCTCCTTGATCTCCTCCTGCAGATGCTCCAGCTCCGAGTTCTGCTCGTTGATGAAGGTGAACTCCGCGAAGTTGCGCTCCTCCACTGGAGAGAGGCGGGAGAGGCGGGTCCGGAGAGCCGGAGACAGACGGACACACGGGACAGGGAAAGACAGATGTCGAGAAAGACAACACAGACACAAGCCCGCAGAGGCAAAGAGAGACGGAGAGGGAGAGGCACAGAAAGCCAGGGGGGACACAGAGGACATCGGAGCAAGTCAGAGTAAGAGAAAGAGACGGCGGCAAAGTCAAGAGAGGCCCAGAAATACTAAGAGACGCAGAGACACAGAGGAAGAGAGAAGAGAGGGCGAGAAAACAGCAGAGGTAGGGAGAGAGCCCAGGACCCGGGAGAGGACAGCAACAAGTACCCGGAGGGAGAGACACAGAGGTTGAGGGGAGATGTGGAGAGAGACCGGGAGGCCCGTAATGGGGGGGGGGGGGCAGGGAGACAGACACACCCAGAAACAAACGGACATAAAGACACACTGAGGGGACTGAGAGATGCAGGCCAGAGGGAGACACACACACAGAAGGAAGGGCTCAGAAGGCCCGAGACGGGGAGGGAGAGAGACTGGGGACAGGGCAAGAGGGGCAGAGGCTGGGCGGCCGAAGAGGGGCGAGGAGGGCGCGCCTGACGCCCCGAGTCTCCAGTGCAGGTGCCGGAGTCCCCAGGGCCCCCCAGGAGGCCCTCGGTTACCGGGACGGAGCTCAGCCTGCGCCTGATTGGGGGGGTGCGGGGGTCCCGCGCCTGGGCCTCCTCCCTCCGCCCCGCCGGCGCGGCCCCGTACTCACTCTCCAGGTACTTCTCCACCAGCATGTCCGGGTCGCGTTCCCCGGTCAGCTGGGACAGTTTGTTCATGGCGTCCTCACAGCGCATCACCAGCTTCTCCTGGGAAGTCTTCCGGAGGCCCTCGGCCACCTCGCGGGCTGGGGGAGGAGGAGGGGCGCTGAGGTCGGCGTCCGTGGCGGCCAGGGGCGCAGCAGGACCTGGGTGGGCTGAGCGAAGGCCGCGCGCGCCCCGCCCGCCCCGCCCCGGGAGACCCCGAGCCCCGCGGGCCTGGCGGCCTGGCCCCGGCCTCACCGCGTTTCTCGCGCTTCTCGACGACAGCGGGGTCGGGCAGCCGATCGTTGTTCTTGAGCTTGAGGAAGCGGTGTAGCTGCTCCAGGTGCGCGATCTGCCGCTGCAGGATCTGCACCTCCGAGTCGTTCTGGGCCACCTCCTTCTCCGCCCTCTCCCGCAGCAAGCCTATCTTGCTCTTTGCCTCCTCCCTGGGGTGGGGTGGGCGTGGGTAAGTGAGCCCAGGGGTCAGGGAGACTGGGGGATCGGGGTCAGCCTGGGGTCCCAGGGCGGGGGCAGAATCAGGTTGCAGTTTCCCCGAGGTCACAAAAGGCAGAAAACTTTCTAGGTTCCTAGAGGTGAGCCAGGTTGCGGGGGGGGCCTGGGAGGTGTGCTGGGCCATGGAAGGGACTGATGGGGCATTGCTGCAGGGCACGCACAGGGGCGTCCGGGCGGCCTGGGCATGACCGCGTGAGCCATGGACCAGGAGGCGGGATGGTGAGGAGGGTACAGTCAGAGATTATACTCAGGCCCGGAAGGGGCAGACCCAGGTGATAAGGTAATGGTGCTGGAGTTTGGGGGTCGTGTGGTTGGAAATATAAGAGGCTTGAACCCTTCAGGGCCTCATGTTGGACAGACGGATGACATCACCAGCACTAACGTGCACACCCTTTTGAGGTATCGCGGACGCTCTGGAAGCCTCTGGCCCTGAGCCCCTTCGGGCCTGTCCGTCGGAAAATGTGGCTTTTAAGCTTTTGAACACAGCGCGGCGCACTGTAAATTCCGAGGGTCCCAAACCTACTTCCCAGGTCACAGGGTCAAAAGTCAGAGGGTCATCATATCAGGAGACTAGCAGGCCAGTGTCCTCAGGTCCCTGCCCATGGACCATTCTAGTTCCCACCTTCACAGCTTTGCCTCCACCTAGAGCACCAGCTTCTTGCTCTGTTCAGATTCCTTTAAGACCAATGCACATCAGGGCGCCTGGGTGGCTCAGTTGGTTAAGCGACTGCCTTTGGCTCAGGTCATGATCCTGGAGTCCC